GTATTTTCCATTATTTCAAAACTATGCAACTGGTTAGAGGGTTTGCGCTACAGTTATACTGGGAAATACGTCAATTAACTGCACTAGCAACATTTAATTATAACTTCTGAATTAGCTAGTAACAAGATTTTTTGGTGGTAGATTAATATAATTGTGACCAACACTTCGACAATATTTAGTCACAGAAATCAGATTTTACCTATTATTTTAAGGGACACCACCAAGTGAAGATAAATATCACTTGAATTTTTAGAATTTCTCTTATTTTTATTTTGTATTACAATAGTACCCCATCACGACTGGTACCCAAACATACCAGGTGCAGTTTAGAACCTCCTGGACATAGTATATATACAGTAACAATCAGTCATCAGCGCTGGAATATGGGGGGCCAGGGCTCTCCCACTTTTTATAAGTAGATGGGCCTGGCCCATCCATTTTTCGCCATGGGTACCCCATCTCTTCCTCATAGGGCCCCAGCCCTGCCCCCGTGGTCAAGCCAGCAGCTGGCGCCTGGCTGGGGAGCCTGGGCAGAGGGGTTGCCGCAAACCCTCCAACTGCCCAGGGTGGGGTGGGACAGGTGAGCGCTGCCCCCAGCCTGTGCCCCCCCCGCGTCTAGGGCAGGTGGAGGACCCACGGCTCCTCACAGCTGCCTGGCTGCAGCTCTTACCATGGCCAGGCTGCAGCCCTGAGGCCCCATCCCCCAGGTGGAACTGGATTGGGGATAGAGCTGCGGAGGCAGCTGTGGGGAGCCGCGAACCCTCCACCTGCCCTGGGCAGGGCGACCGCAGAACAGGGATACAGGCCGGGCGCTGCTCTTGGCCCCCCAACCCCAGGCAGGTGGAGGATTCATGGCTCCCAGCCCACTCTAGTTTCCACTTGGCCAGGGGCGGGGCCTCAGAAGGGGCAGGACCTCTGGCCCCCTGACTTTTGGGAAGGCTCCACAGGAGGTACAATCAGTACTTGCAGATTAAAAACCCCCAAACAGTCAAAGGATGGAGAAAAGACAGTATTCTCTCTATTTTCCTGACAGGGAACGAAGGCACCGGAAGATTAAGTGACTTGCTCAAGGTTACACAGGAGGATTCTGTGGCAGCACCAGGAATCGAATCCAGATCTCCTATATCCCAGTCCGGTGCCGCCTTAGCCTGTTTACAGCCTGTATTTGACAACTCCTCCTGTATAGCCCTGCTCAGTTTCCCCTGGCCAGTCAATTTCCCCCCTTTGTGTGGGTCTTTCACAAAGCAGTAGGGGAAGAGAAAACCCTCTAACAATACTTCTGTTAGTCTTAAAGGTGCCACAGGACCCTCTGTTGCTCTCTAAAAATAAGTGATGGTAGCAGTGAAAGCACAACTGCCAGGGACTTGGGGCAGCTTCGTATCTGAGGCGACATTTTAAGGACTGTTTAACACTGTCCGAGCTTCAAGCTGGTGCCCGTGTAGCAGCCACAACTCGGGACTTGGCGGTCACTGCCCGGGCAGTGCCAGCAGACGCCGCCTTTCGGGTCCGCGCGCGCACATCTCGCCCGTCTCCTGCCCACCCCCCGGCATAGCCCCTGCGCGCCAGCCCCTCCCGGCCCCTACGAGCCATGGGTCACCCCCACCCGCTTCGCCATGAAGCCGATGCGCTTCGCCCCCATCCCCAGCTCAGACCCGGCCCCCCCTCCCCCGCGGGCCCCAGGCCCCCCCTCCCCCGCGGGCCCCAGGCCCTCACCGTCCGGCCGGAACTCGAACTCCAGGAACTCGTGGCCGAATTTCCCCTTGTGCCCCACATAATAGCGCAGGTAGAAATCGCTCCCCATGGCCACCGACCGCCGAGAGACCAGAATGCACCGCGCGTCCGGCCCGGGAGACCAGCCTGCCCGACAACAGCGGGCGCGGAGGGACAGCTTCCGGGCGGGCGCGGAGTAATTACGCAATGCCGGAGACTGTGCGGCTTAGTTGAGCAGGCTCAGTAACAGCTCCTGAAGCTGCTGCCCTCACTCTGCTGGTGCCTGGACTCAGGTTCTGCTGGTGCTTCTTAGCCGAGTTCAAAGGGGGCAAATCGGAGGGGGGAATGGGCAGGGGCTGGGCAGGGGGCGGAAAGATACTGGCTGGCGGGGGTCAAGAAACTGGGGCCAGGAGATCGGCTGCAGGGCAAAATCAGGGATGGGGCGGGGTAAAAAGCCGGGGTTAAGCCCAGAAGGTGGCGCTGCCAGAGTATGACATGGGGCAAAACTCTGGTTTAGGGAGGGGGGGGGGGACAGTTACCCCCGCGGAGATAAGCCACCTGCTGTGTTTGCAAAAATAGGGGGGCAGAGGGGCTTTTTTATTTCCCCTCTCACAGGAGAGTACATCTGGGTTCTTAAAGGCACAGGCATCCCAATGCGTAGACCGGGCAGCTCCTCTCTAGCTGATCTAATGTGCTGAGGTGCTACAGGACAGTGGCTCTCAACCTTTTCAGGTTATTGGACCCCTTTCAGGAGTCTGATTTGTCTTGTGTACCCCTAAGTTTCACCTCACTTAAAAACTACTTGCTTATAAAATCAGACATAAAAATAAAAAAAGTGTAATAGCACACTATTACTGACAAATTGCTTCCTGACTCATTTTTACCATATAATTAGAAAATAAATCAATTGGAATATTAATCTCATACTTAAATTTCAGTGTATAGTATATACCCGGCCCTCCCTGCGCACAGGACCCATAGAGAGCAGTATAAACAAGTCATTATCTGTAGGAAATTTTAGTTTGAGGCCCTGTCAAAATTTACTACCCCTGGACCAGAGATTGTGACAGGTGAGTTGTAGCAAATACTGAAGAAAGTAAAAACAAGGAGGAGTACTTGTGGCACCTTGGAGACTAACAAATTTATTTGGGCATAAGCTTTCGTGGGCTAAAACCCACTTCATCAAATGCATGGAGTGGAAAATACAGTAGGCACGTATAAATATACAGCACATGAAAAGATGGGAGTTGCCTTACCAAGTGGGGGATCAGTGCTAATGAGACAATTCAATTAAAGTGGAAGTGGGCTATTCTCAACAGTAGAATACCAAGGGAGGAAAAATCACTTTTGTAGCGGTAATGAGGCCAATGTAATCAGGGTGGCCCATTTCAAACAATTGACAAGAAGGTGTGAGTAACAGCAGGGGGAAATTAGTATGGGGAAATTAGTTTTTGTAGTGATCCATCCACTCCCAGTCTTTATTCAGGCCTAATTTGATGGTGTCCAGTTTGCAAATTAATTCCAGTTCTGCAGTTTCTCGTTGGAGTCTGTTTTTGAAGGTTTTTTGTTGAAGAATTGCCACTTTTAAGTCTGTCATTGAGTGTCCAGAGAGACTGAAGTGTTCTCCGACTGGTTTTTGAATGTTATAATTCTTGACATCTGATTTGTGTCCATTTATTCTTTTGCGTAGAAACTGTCTGGTTTGGCCAGTGTACATGGCAGAGGGGCATTGCTGGCACATGATGGCATATATCACATTGGTAGATGTGCAGGTGAACGAGCCCCTGATGGTGTGGCTGATGTGGTTAGGTCCTATGATGGTATCCCTTGAATAGATATGCGGACAGAGATGGCAACGGGGTTTGTTGCAGGGATAGGTTCCTGGGTTAGTGTTTTTGTTGTGCAACAAACCAGAGCTATGGGGCTAAATTCAGAGCTGAGGGGGAATTTTCCCTGAGTAAAAATGCACAGGCATCTCAGGATTTCATCCACATGTGTTAGGAGTAAAACATCTATTCCTAGAGGAACTAGCTCCTCCCTGAAGAATTGCTCCTTATAATACTGTATGTTATCTAGGGGTTGGTACAGGGTATTCCTAATGAAGATCAAGTGTTTGACACAAGTTCCATTAGTTAGAGTGCGGACAAAAATAAAAGCCACTTCTTTCATTTTGAGCCCACAGAGATTCAGACTAACACGGCTACCCCTTTGATTTTGAGCCCAGTTACAGAAATTGTTAAGTCCATGACCAGAGCCAGCAGCCTTGTTGTATGTTTGAAAGCTCTCTTGCATATGAAGACTTTTCCACTTGGACACCACTTGACCAATGCATTCCCTTCAATGAGGCTGTAGTTAATAGGATAATGAAATGCCGCTGGCTAGCATTAGGCTGTAAATTAGCACTGGCTGTTAGGTTGTAATGTAAGAATGTTTCTATTTGAACTTTCCCTAGCTATCTCAGATACTAGGCTCTTGAGAGCCTATCATGTGCAGGCATTTGTTAAAATCAGGCACCCTGGAATATCAGGGCCACTAAATTCCTATTTCTTTACAGCACTGTGTAATGAAAAAAGTTGTCTGTTGACAAGCACCCATTCTATTCTTGAAAGTGATGCTTTTCCAAGTGCAAGGAAGGATTACTTCTGCTTGGGAAGGAGTTCTGCAAAGTGTTTTCATTTCAGATATATAAAGGCAAAAATCAGAGGTTGCACGCTAGATGTCTTCTGGCTATGAAAATTGCTTGCACTTTACCAAACTCCCCAGTTTAAGCTGCACCCTGAATCTTTCTCTGCAAAGCCACAATGCTTATAGCCTCTGGCAGTATACTGCTGCTGACTGGGTAGACATCCTGTCTCCTAGTGAGGATTACACAGCCCAGCACTCCCTACCCCCTGTTGGGTAGACACCTCTGTACTAAGGTGTGAGCTCCCTAATCTGTGGGCAAATGGTACCCATATCACACGCAGGCCTGCCTGAGGCCTCTATCTCTTGAACTCTAGTCAGTTAAGTTTCACTGAGTTGACACATCTCTCGGCCCATTCCCTGGACTCCCCACGTGGAAGGCTCCCCCTCTCCCAGCATCCAGGGACTTGGCCTCTTCCACGCATGCTCACTCGTTCCGCGGACAGGCAACGACAGCTCATTGAACCAGTGGGAGAGATCATTCGGGGGAAAGCTCCGCCTCCTCCAATACCGTATGTGGAAGAGTCCAGCGCGGGATGTGGGGGGGGTGTTTGTCAGTGAACCAGTCCGAACCCTGAAATATGGGCGGGGGAGGCTGAGACCTTAAGCCTCGTCTCTAGTCTAGCTCCTTCTTCGCTGCTATTTAAGCTCCGTGGGCTTCCGTGGGGCGCCGTGCGTTCCTCCCCCCACGATCACCATGGTTTGCTCCCCCCTCTCTGACGCTGGTTTGATTTAACCGTCATAGGGGCGATAAGGTACGTCATCACGCAGCTGAATGTTCATTGGTTGGGGAGGTAGCCGAGCTGGTCGTGGCTATTAGTCCAACTGTCTATGTGGGGTGAGCTGCCGTTCGCGGCTGCGCTAGGGCTGGCGGGGCCTCGCGGGTCGCGCTAGGGAGGCGGGGGCCGGGAAGGAGACAGCGGGCCGGCCCCTCCGTAGCGCTGGTCGCGGCGCCTGAGCCAACGCTATGTCCGGCAAGAGTAAGCCCTTGTCTAGCTGCAGCTGCCCGGAGCTGGCCGCGGGGCAGCGAGTGGGAGCGGGCGGCCGAGGTGCTGCAGCCCGACTGCCCCAGGAGGAGTCTGAGGCGCAAGGGCGGGGCCGCAGGGCTAACCCCAGCCTGGGCGACCCTGCCATTGTCAAGTCCCCCAGTGACCCCAAGCACTACAGGTGAGGGGGAGGGGCCCAGCACTAAACGGGACCGCAGGGGGGGGGCGTGTGGGGAAGAAGGTGGAAGGGATCCCCCCCCCCCCGCATCACGGGATGGGGCAGAGGGCCTAGGCGCTTCCCCGGCCTTACAGTAACCCTGGAAGAAGAAACTAAAACAAACTGGATTTTCCCCCCTTCCCCCCCATACATTTCCAGTTGCTTCCATATCAGCAGCAAACGTGAACTCAGGGGTTGAATGAATACTTTTAAAACGTAACATGGTTACGAAGTGGGCTGTAGCCCATGAAAGCTTATGCTCAAATACATTGGTTAGTCTCTAAGGGTATGTCTACACTACGAGAGTAGTTCGATTTTAGTTAAATCGAATATGTGCAATCGATATTAGAAAGTCGAACGTGTGTGTCTACACTAAGGACAGTAATTCGACTTTGTCAGTCCACAGTACCAGGGAAAGCGTCGACATTGGAAGCGGTGCACTGTGGGCAGCTATCCCACAGTTCCCGCAGTCCCCGCTGCCCATTGGAATTCTGGGTCGAGCCCCCAGTGCCTTCTGGATAAAAAAATGTGGCGAGGGTGCTTTTGGGTAACTGTCGTCATCTGTCAGTCACTACCGCCCTGCCTCCCTCCCTGAAAGCGCCGGCGGGAAATCAGTTCGCGCACTTTTTGATCAGTGACAGCGCGGACGCCACAGCACTGCGATCATGGATCCCGCTGCGACCATCGCTGCAGTTGTGGCCGTTCTCAACGCCTCGCACCTTATCATACACCTTACCCTGAGGCAGATGCAGAGTAATCAGGCGAGGAGGCTACGGCACCGCCGTGAGGGCCTGAAGTCGGAGAGTAGCACAGAGCTGTCAGAAACCACGAGCCCCAGCGCCCAGGACATCACGGTGGCAATGGGGCATGTGGATTTTGTTGAACGGCGATTCTGGGCCCGGGAAACAAGCACGGACTGGTGGGACCGCATAGTGCTTCAGGTCTGGGATGAATCCCAGTGGCTGCGAAACTTTCGCATGCGGAAGGGCACTTTCCTGGAACTTTGTGACTTGCTGTCCCCTGCCCTGAAGCGCAAGGACACCCGCATGCGAGCAGCCCTGACTGTCCAGAAGCGAGTGGCCATAGCCCTCTGGAAGCTTGCAACGCCGGACAGCTACCGGTCAGTCGCGAACCACTTTGGCGTGGGCAAATCTACCGTGGGGGTTGTTGTCATGCAAGTAGCCAAGGCAATCGTCAAGGTACTGCTGTCAAAGGTAGTGACCCTGGGAAACGCGCAGGCCATCATAGATGGCTTCGCTGCGATGGGATTCCCAAACTGCGGTGGG